TAATTTAAGATTATACTCTCTGAGTTAAGCATATTTTCTCATTAGAGTGGGATTTTCAGAGTCATTTAATTTTATTTTCACCACTGTAGTAAATTATTGCAAAGGTGAGAGTAACTTCCATCAAACAGCAAAAACAAGAGCACTAGAGCTGATTTCAGAGAACAAGAACTGTTTTGGGGTAATTATTCTCAGTAAAACATCTAAGTAGGTGTAATTCTGATACAAATGACTGACACCTCCCAGTCCTCACCAGGAAAGAGGGCCTACTTGCCTCTTCAAGACAGCCTGAAAGCCAGCACTGGGTGGAAACATTCAGAAGCATAAGTGTGATATGTATTGCTAGGAAGATAAAAGCTCCAGGTAGACAATTATCCTTGCTGACGGGAAGAACTGGGACAGAGGATGACAATGACACAAATGTACAAGAACTCTAAAAAGTAGAGACTCAGATATAATTCAAGGCTTTGCTACTGTACCTGAGCTATAAAATTCTCTGTATGATCCACTCAAACCATCAAGAGAATTTTTCTGTTTATTTAATTGGACTAAATAAGCATTATTGGCCCACGTTGCAGATTACTTTTTAAATCTTCATAATTGTGGATGACATTTGAGTTAGTTTAGGATTGTTACATCTGTTAACACATAGGTGGGCGTGTTTTCATGTTCCAGAATGGTTCGGTTATGTCACAAAATCCTAAGTACTGCCCAAGCCTTAGATAAGGAGGTAAGACTTGCTTCAAAAAGGCTGCAAGTTAATTAAGAAGGTACGCAGGAGCTGAACCAGGAGATGAGTCAAGAGAAAAAAGAGAGATTTATGAAAAAAGCATGTGTATTAATGTCAGAAATATCAGAGACAGAAGGAAGAAAATATGGAGAACAGACTTTCAGGCCTGATCAGCATGGCTGGAAACATTAGTCAGAACATCCATGAAAGACTGGAGAGGGTGGAAGACAGAAATGAAGAAATCCAAAATGAGTGGGAGGAAAGGAACTTGTGCAATTTCCTTGTCAGAAATAAACCATTATAATCCTGCTATAGGACGCTTTCTCACTCTCCAAAAATAATCTCACAACTAAAAGGGGATTATCAAACGTACACAGGTGAATACTGTAAATTAATACAAAAAACCTAATTCATTAGAGTCCAAGTCCAGCTCTTCTTTCTCAGACTGGACTCTCACCATAGACATTGATTACTAACCTCTGTAGAAGGAAATGCTCGAAAATATGCAGGAAGGGTGAAAGTTGCTCCAGGCATTACTTACTCTCTCTTCAGTCATTCTCTGTGTATCAGCTGCTGCTTTACATAAGGAAACATGCTGCTTAAAATTTCCATTCTGTCAGTCAACCACAGCAACTGACATTAAAGGAAAAATAACACCACTGCATGGATTTCAATCTACCCTTCAATAATGTCCCACCTTTGCCTTTTCTATCTCTTGTTTCCTTTGTAAAGACTGTATTACAGATGGAGCAGTGGAAGAAGGCAAAGAATACGTAATTTAATTGCTTCCCATTAATTCGGAATGGTTAGTCCAAGCAATCTTCCTCTAAGTATCCACATATCAGATGACAAATGGACCTAACCATTGACGATGAGAGAAAAATCAATTTATTTGTAAATAATGAAAATTTATTACGAAAAATGCTTCTGGAACAGTGCAAGCTTCTCCCATTTCTGTTGACAAATTGGATACTTAACACTATTGACCTAAAACAAGGATTACTGTCTGACAGAAGTGCACTGTGACAAAAGACGGCCTGGAACTGAACTTTTTTGCAATTCCTTCACACTCTTAATGGGGAACTACATCACTATACATTTTTTTTATCCTGTTGCTAAATAGCTATTCTACCTGGTGAGCAGAGGAGTGTACTGCATTTGACTGGGGTAGACAGGATGACATTCTCTCTCCCTCACTATTTACTTACAGGAAGAGTGGCAGACAAAGAGCTCTTGGCTCATGTCTTCTTTATGACTCATAATCTAAGCAGAAATGAGCATCGGAATAAAGGAAGTCTTTAACTTCCTCTTCATTCACCCACACCATAAGCAAAGGTTATGACAATCCAGCCTTAAGAACTCTGCATAAAAACATAGTGAGTCAGCTGTTTGCAAATAGCTCTTGCTTCCCTTGCACTTCATCTCTATGGGTGCTCCCTGTCTGCTTTGCATTCACATGATTTGCCTACCATACATAGGTATGCAACTCCACGGGTTACCAACGGAAGAATGAATAGCAATACAGTGCAAACCAGACAGAGAGAATGTAGGACTACCAGGTTAAGGCATATTTTCTGTCTGAGGACATGAAGTTCAAGCAGTGGAATAAAAGTCTACTGGAAAAAGTACAAAAATAAATATTAAAATATTAACAACATATTTTTAATTACAACATCACTTGCAAATTATTTTAACAGTATTAGACATATTATATTGTCAGAAAAAATGGAAATGTTAATGTCTTTTCTATCTGTAGTTTCTGTTATGCTACGCTGTTAAACTAAGATTCAGCTATTTCACGATGCACAATTTCTATATTTGGTGAAAATACCTAAATGATTACGCATATCTGCAAGTTCATCTTCTATAGTAGGTAAATTGTGCTCACTGATGTCTGAAACCACTGAACCAAAATTTTGATAGCCATGCTTCCTAGAAACACAAAAACCTCTTCAAAAGCTCTGTGACAACATCCCCTGAAATAAAAATAAAAGCTGTATACTTTCTTTTTAAGATTATTCAGTTCAAATGATGACACTTTGAGTTATTCATGAGGTGTTCTTTGGATGAAATGACTGGTCTGGCAGATCATGGATACCATTGGCAATGAAAATTCAAATTGACAGGCACGTAGAGTGATGGAAGATTTGATGTGTGATATGAAATCTTTGACTATACTCAACAAGTCTAATGAGACTTTTCCAAAGTCACTTTTCAAATAGTTTCATTCTCCCCCTACAAGCAGTAATCAAAGAATTATTTAAACAGCATGACACCACATGGTTTAAAATAATTCCCCTAGGATTACATATTTTGCGATTTCAAAACAACAAACAAACAAACAGTAGGAACTATTTTATGCACCCAGTTTAAAGAAAAATAGATGCAAGCAATTATCATAAAGTTGACATAGCAAGATATGCTAGGATTTAACACTAAAATAAGGAAGTTTATTTTGAATGTTAAAAATATCTCATTCAGGGTCTGAAATGTTCAATGTGTTTACTAAGCTTTTAGAATTTATATTCAGAAAATATTTTCTTGAATGCTTTATTAATACAGAGACCCTTTGAATTAATACAGAATAATATAATTGATAAAAATTTATTCAGTTAACTTAGACTGAAACAAATAGTGGTCTTTCCTCCGAATTTGATCAAATCCCATTAGAACAACAAATATTAAAATTTTATATATGCTTTGAGGTCTTTTAAAAATTTTATGGATGGCCTCATGCGTTCTTTAATTCCCAACATGTCAGACAATAGCAACAGTGAAGCTTTATTAAGCGGTCCGAATACCTATCTTCAGTTTGTTGAGACATATCAGGTTGTTCATTTTATTCACATGTCAAACCACGTCACCATGATGAATTTAGCATACTTTAGTCCCTTTCCTTTCCCCCTGCAGCTGTACATATACATGCTGATAGCACATGCAGTAAAATTACAGGGAAAAAAGTTGCCTACAGAGAGAGATCTCTTTTTTAAAAAGAAATTCTTAAGAATAAGCCAAAGAAAGTAACTGCTCCCAATAGTTAGAAGCTCAAGCAAGTACAGCCTGCCACATTTGGGAAGCTCTGCATTGCACTTAGTCAGAGATGTCTGAACTGCCACTCCCGCACCTGAGAGAACAGGGAGGAACTTGAGCAGTTCTGAATAAAGTCAAATGAGATGAACCTCTTAGTCCAAAAACCAAGCCTATTGGACTAAAAAACTGAGGCAGCAAAGGGCAGAAGGAAGCAGACACACCCGGACATTAGCAAAAAAGCAGAAACAGCAGTCCCAATTTCATTACAGGATAAAGTGAAAGATACTCATCGGAAAATAAAAAACTGGATCCAGAGTGACTTGGAATATTTCTCAAGAAAATTCTGTTTACATACAAGCTGGGAGCCTCTCACAAAACAAGGAACTATAACTTTATCGTCTGTCTTTGTAGATGCAGTGACCTTATAGATGCACATTAGAACTTTTCTTTCCTATTACCACTTCAATAAAGTTTCCTTGTCTGTTAGGAGAAAAGCCATACTCAGCAGTTTAAACATAACATTAGCATATTAGAAAGAAACATTTACTTCTTGTCTGTGCCTGTAAGACAGAGTCATTCATATATAATACCACACATTGACATGTTACATGAGCGTCTGGAAGATAGAAAAGGCTATAGCAACATCCAAGCCTCTCTGTTTCAGTAGTACTGTTGGATACAGAGGCATACATACATACATACATAGGACGAAAAACCACAACAGAGACCAGAAAACTAACAAAATTAAGCCTTATCCAAATCTACCCGTGTATAATTAGCTCATTTTCTCATTGATCTCTTGGAACATTTCAGAGTCAAAATTTCAATAATGTGTTACGAAATCAGATTCAGTCCCCGGCACCAACACGAATGCAGTGGCATACATTTACAACTGAGTACATTATAGCTATTATATAAGCTTACCATTCTAGGAATCCTCCAGAAAATACTCATTTTTTAAAACTTTTCATAAAACACACTGCAAAAAATGAACGTCTCAATTTAAAAAAAGATCACTCCAAACCATACTACTATCCAATAATGTTATTTCCATGTGTCCAAGTCACACACATACATATTTATTTAGGTTACAGATGCAAGAATAGGGTACAACTAACAAGTATTTTATCTTAGTTTCTATCCTTCTCAGAAAGTGGCATTTGAAAGGCTAATACAACACAAAAGTAGTATGGAAGAACAGTGATAATAAAAAACATAGGCAAGAAAAAGAAAACGTACTTACACTTCTGCTCTTCCCACGTGGATTACAGGTATTCTTGCTCATGTTGACTCTATGACAAAATCAGGAGTGTTTCACAAGTTTCAAAGGAGAATTTTTATCCCTGGTTCAGCCAAATATCAGTTGAGATACTGAAAGGAAATTAATTTATATCATTAGCATGAAGGCCTTTCAAGTTGTACAACATTCAGGCATAAGACACTTCATGAGTTTATGAAAGCTGCAAACATTCTAAGATCCACTAGAACAGATGTTACTCTAAACCACACAGCAAGCATACTTATGAGTAGTTCATGTTTTCCTGTCAATAACAAATGCATACTAACTCAAAACCATTACAAAAGATTACAGGCTTCTGAGGCAGAGCTTTTTGCCACAGTTAACAAGATATTGGCAGTATTACTTGTAATAATGAAATAAGCTTATTGAATATTTTTATCCAGTTTCTCAATCTGAGGGAATCTGTTAATTTATATGCTATTCAGACCAGGATATATAATTAGGGGAAGAAGATTAGCTATGGTAATTTTCAAATCCAGGTTCCTAAGGATGTTTAAACCAGTAGTGGGATACTTTCATATAGTTGTCAGAGTTCGACAAACTGGTTTTTGTATTATGGCACTAACTAAGGGAAACTCTCTAACTACTGATGATGGTATGGCACTGCACCTTTGAAAAGCAGCATTCATCAGCTTTTGGCTAAGTACATAGACAAAACCATGGAAGAGTAAAGGGAAATTCATATGCTCTGAAATCAAGCAGCTCCAAGATTTCTGTTCTCATTTAAGCCAGGTAGTCTCTGCACGTGTTTTTTTCCTTATCTCTGTCAGCCAAAGATGAGGTAAAGTGCAATTTCTAACCAACAAAGATGTTATAGTAAAATCACCTAATACAGAATCAATCACATCAGCAAAATTACAGATATGGTTTATTTCCTTCATGGGTAGGCAGATCACTGATGCAACTCACATGGATACAAAAGGTAAGACATCATCCACACTTGCATGGCCTTACTAGCATAACAAACTGCTTTTAAATTACTAAGTTTTTTGAGAATCTCAAAGTCCATCTCTACCAAAAAGGAAAATTAATCCTTAAATCTCAGTACAATATTAAGAACCGTGTACATGTGTAGTTTCCTACCTCTACAGGAGAAAATAATGACCTGGGACAAAGGTAAAAGTTTAGTTTTCCTTCCTAAGAAAACCACACATATCACTGCATGAGCAACTCTTTAGCACATTACTTGATTTTTCTATTTGTTTTGTAAAACATTGGTACTTCTTTCAGATAAAAAATAAATATGTATTGATTACTTATGTATTTAATTATTTATAAGCAACATTCGGTAATAGAGAATCAAATCCAAATGTTGAGGAAGCAGCTAATTTTTTCCTATTTAGATATCATATAAAAAAATATTATTCTTGTGAATTTTACAACAACGAAATAGAGGAACTAATTTGCAAATAGAGTTGCAAGGACTATGCCTCCTTATGGTCTTGCTAGATTTCTTTCAAGGTAACTATGTCATTCTCTGCCCAATGAGATGGAGATGTGATTATTTCCTCCCTATTGATTGGCTTCACCAACTACTCAATAGTTATTTACAAAGGTGAAACAAATTCTGGCACTGACCTTGTACCGTTACCACCATCTGTGCCCATGGGTACATAGCTGGGCCTAGCCTGAGAGCTCCTGTGGCTAGTCCTGTCGGGTTTATGTACAGCTTCACTTTGTAATTGACAATATGCATCAGCCAGTGCAAATTACTCTTGTATTGGTGGCCCCACAAGCAATTTGACTTGCGAGATGAAGCGGCCATCAGAAACATCACAGATGAAGCCTGGTGGAAGGGGAGACTGATTTGAGTAGAGTGGAGTTCACTGACTCAGAGACTGTTGGTTTATTGCCCTTTCACACAGAATGATAGTCTGACCAGATGCCCACAAGTCTCCAGGAAGTTACCATCAACCTACATTCAATGAAAGCAACGACTGGGGAGGGAGAGGAATCCTCAGCTCCAAGAGCCATACTTCAACTTCCTTTATTGCCATCAACATCTATCCTGACTACCAGTATAGATTTGCCAACCCAGGGTACACCTGTTGTGGACACCAATGACAGAAATACATCATATCCATGCTTTGAGAACTAGATAGGAAAAGTGTTGGGACTAACAGAATGTCTAAAGGGATACGTGGAAAGAGAAAGATCTTATTCCAGCATTCTCTGGAATCCACTGAAAAAAAGCAAAACCAATGTACGTATTGTTTTTGCATGGAAAAAAGTCTTTGTGTGAAAAATCTAAGAATCATGAAAGTAAATTTGGGAGTACACAGGGAATGAGTAGTGGAGATTGCATTGAAAAAAACCCTACATGATCCTATTCAATTTCTGAGATATTGTTATAGTGATCCTCTACAAGAGGCTTTCATTAAGGGAATTTGCTTTCGTAGAAAAATATCTTATTCTAAATTATTCATATACTATCATTACCATATTTGACCATATAGAAGTATACATAAAAGCCATATGCTTTTATATATAGGCATATGTATAAGCATCCTTATCTTTTCCACAAAAGCCATGATTTGTGGAAAGAAAAAATGAATTTTCAGTGACAAATCTTGTCACATCTACATAGAAAACAGTATCCACAAGAGTATCTTAACATTACTTTTCCAATTTAAAATAGCTACAAGATGAAACAGATTCAAAAGTAAATACATCATTGCTCTATCCATTTCAACAGTACTTGATACACATGCAAGAGAGGAATACACTTAGCTCATTAAACTAGTTAATGCATTTAGGCAAAATTCACAAAGTCATCTGAAATATCTAGAACTATGTATGAAATCAAGGTACAAATTTATGGTTTTAACTCAGGAAAGCAGTAGTAGCACATTAAACAGGGTCAAATATTTCTTTCACATCTTGTGTGACTTTCTGTCTTGAACACTTTCAGGCATGTTTCTGTGAATATCTGTAATATATAAGTCCATATCACAACCAGAAAGCAGGATAGTAGAGCTCTTAAAATCTTAGAATACAAGAGAAAAAAATAAGGCTATTCACTACAAGGATGAAGTTTGAAGAGAAAATTTCTTGTCAAGAAGAACATTCCCTGATCACTATTTTTCTGTAGATGTAATACCTAGAATTTTCACATGACGTCAAAAGAAGAGACCTCATTGAACTAGCCCAGAGGTACTTCCAAGAGCCAGATTAGTGTAGTTTATTATAACAGGCACATGAGTCATACAGACAGATGTCCTTCTTCCAGACCTTTCAAGCTTTCCAAGTTTTTATTAAAGCACCATGGATTTTATTCCTGTTGAACATGATATTAGCCAAAGAAAACGTGCAAACTGAAGTTACTCATATTGGACTACAGAACAATATATATATACACTTTTATTTAATCATCTTAGTCATTAAGTCTTACTAATAGTTATTTATATATAAGATGTAAACACAACAAAACTAAAAAAAAAACTTAGTGACTTCAAACTGAAATTTTTTCTGATATTGCTTAGCATTTAAATTACAGGGAATAATTAAAATGTAAATATTTCTACTGAACTGGTTGATCAATTACAAAACTTTTTTTAAATTTTTTTAACAGGAGATTAAGAGATGATAAAATAAATAGAAATAACTTGCCATTTATTTTCTGTTCCTAGCTCTATGTTTTAGCTATCTTTCAAGATGTTTTCATGGTGTGAATGTATATTGAACAAAGTGGCACACTCATAGAAAATACTGAAGCAATCACCTCAGGTACTAAGAAGTTTAGAAAAAAATACTATAGAGATATTGTAAGAGAAGAAATTAAAAACAGCAAAAAATTTTAACAGACTGCTTGAGAAGATTCCAGGGTGAATCACAAGATTTTAGTTCCTGTAACATCTAGGATATTATTGTTGTTTGTTTGTTTGGGTTTTTGTATGCCTGTCTGTCTACTTACAGAAGAAGCATATTTCTTTAAACAGAGCTATAGAACACTGCCAAATAGTAGTTACTGCCCAATTTGATGGACTTGCACTCTTCTTGCTTGTTAGATAGCCTTACATTTCTTTAATTGTATTTTGTTTTCAAAAATAGTCCCTAAAATTTGTACAAGAATACATTAAACTAGCTGAGAAGCTCTTATGCTGTTTTAATATTTATGACTTGACCATGAACAGCCTGGAGAGTTTAATGCTTGTGTGCAACAGCTGTTCATCCACCCTCTACCAGGAATTTAGGAAACAGAAACTAAGGTGAAGACGTTGTCTTCATCAGGAGTTAACATTCTCTATACCTATATATTGTGCTTGCTAACCATTACATAAGTAGTTTAAGTCTTCTTATCTTAGGTAATTATCTAAAACCTGATTAAACGGGTTTCAATATATGAATGTAGAATAAAGTGATTTTAGGGAGCAGACTACTGGCAGCTAGCAAGCTTATGGTACTACTTTTTATTTCACTAAATCTGACTCTAATGTCACCTGTGTCTGCATCAGAGCTGTGTTTAATAAAATATGGCACTAGACTTAAGGGGTTTCTCTTCCTTTCTGATTGACAACTACACAAATGTCATAGTTAATCATTTGGAAATATTCATGATCTAGAAAGATATCCAACAATGATTTGGTTTGCTAGTCACTGCCTAAAATTTTTCTATAAAAGGTGCAACAAGGACTTGAGATAAAGCTTACTCCCTGTTGCTACCCAACATCCATTTACATGAGTGAGATGAAGAACTCATACTGTTTAGCTGCAACATATCTCTATTTCTAAGCAGTTCTGGGCTGAGAAGGTAGCCAAATTTCTTTCAGTTAAATAGGTATGGGGCAAAAATACATCATCATACAGGATTAGAGAGCGCTGAAATGATCTTCTGTCTCTCTGATCTGCAGTAAGATAACTGCCACTGCTCAAAAAAACCCCGTGTTGTTTACTGACTTTAATCTCAGAGGCAAGTAAAGCATACTCCCTTTACAACAACCGAGGATAAAAAGGCCTGAGCTTATGTCTGCAGTGTATGAGTCATCCAGCGTCCAGAACCACTTCTGGAACACTTTAATGTTGGTTTGTTTAATTTCAGTCAGAGTTGCTTCCCCAGTACAAGAGTAGAGAA